GTGGCTGCATTGGTTCTACCAGGTGCTAGAAACTCAGGAGAAGCAGAGGACACTGCTTTTTGCCAAGTGGTCACCGTGCTGCTGCTCCTGCCGGTGCTCCTCGCACCGCTCCAGCATTCGTGATCTGACTTTTATCAAAACAAATTGAATCTGGCTATAGGTGTGTCCCCGAAGGTCACACATCTTTCAAAAAATGGCATTCCAAACCTAGTTTCGAAAGGCAACAAAACCTTTCAAAAATTTGAAATAATCTAAGGAAATTCAAAATGTACAAATGCTAAAATCTCTGAAAAATCCATTTCAAAACTCAAGCAAGTCCAAAGCTCCTTCATTCTCCTGCACTATCATGTAGGCTGGTGGTCAGCAACATCTTCAGATGTTTCCTTGAACCCCGAGTGCTCTGGTTCACTGGTTCGCAGCTGGACAGAAACTGTGTCCCCCAGCACTATGGGCAGATAAAACCCATACGTGGTGGACATTGACTCCCGTAACTCACACCATGTTCACATCAGTCCTGTCACGATCCCGTCCTGACAGCAGCACAGATGACAAAGCACTTTAATGGTTCACCTTGCGGTTGCTTTTGAGTAACTCTCTCCTCTCTCTCTCTCCCCTTCAGTGGGTGTTTGTTGTTACAAGAGGAAAATAAAATAACTTTTAACACCTGTGGAATAAACTTGGCTTTTGAGGTCCGAATTCTTCATTTTTATCCCAATTTTGCAGATGGATTTTTTTAATTGCTTTTAGGCAGATGAGAGAAATGTATTGTTCTCCAGTAACGACCTTCACTTTCAAGCCTGGAAGCCTGGATCGTGCTGTGGTGCTGAGCCTAACAATCCCCTCACCCCACGTCCCCCTTTAGCTGGTGCTTGACACACACTGCGTGCCGCAGCCCTTCCCCGTTCAGGGCCAGATGCTGAACTGAGCTTACAGCTGCCCGACATAACCCCCTTTTGCAGCCCTCTGCCTGGCTGGGGATGCCAACGCAGTCCAGATGTCCCATCCGCTGCAGGCTGCAGCATGCACAGGGCTTCTCTCGGCAGATGGCAGATAAGCCTGCCAGCAAAAAAAAATGCGGATGCTTCAGGATCTGATTGTGGCTGGTTTTACTGACTCGCTCATGCCTTAATAGTCCGTGTAGTAATTCACCCTGAACTGAGGTCATTCTGGGGGCTTCTGAGCCCCATTTTATCAGTGCTGCACGAGAGGTGGGAAGTATCCCCAGGGCTGCAGCACTGGCAATAGTGAGATACCCGCTGGGACTGGTGCAGAGGGGGGTGAGGGGATCGGCAGGGGGGAACATCTGCATCCCAATGGTGCACAAGCCTTAGCAGATGTGCTGGATTCTCTCTGGAGAGTTTCCATCCTACAAGAGGAGCTGTGTCATGGTCTGCATGCTGGAAATCTCTGGGAACACCTTGCTGAAGGCTCAGCCCTGCTCTCTCTATGTCCAACTCAAGTAACAGAGGAAGTAATGTGGTCCCAGACCCGACGCAAAGACCAGGAGTGGCCACTGCTCCACCAGGAGCCTCTCTGATGTCCTGTCCCCAAAAGGAAGGCGAGTTATATCGGCGTTAATATATGCTGGGAGGAAGGGGGAGTGATTTCTTGTCTCGGCATATTTGACCCTGTTTTTCCACCTTTCCTCCTCTCCCTGCAGGGGAAAATCAGACTCTGGTCTGAGTCATCACTCATGAGAGGGTGAGCCAGGCTGGGACGGCTTCTGGCACTGCCTCCAGCTAGTCTTTAGCAAAGACCAGATATTGCAGCTTCAAATAGAGGTGGAATTATTTAGGCTTTCCAAAGAATGCATGTTTGCATTTCAGCAAGCATGGCTCGGCCAGACCTGGCAGGTATCAACACCAGGAGAGGTGACAGAAGCCCACAGTGTGCAAAGCCAGCACTGGGTTGCGGCAGCATGCCAGCGCACGGGCACAGTGGCAAGGAGCAGAGAGGCAGCCTCGAAGGCAGTGCTGCCAAAAATGACACCCCCAGCCCACACCACCCCTTGCCGTCCCTGCAGGGAGCTTCTCAGCCGCTGGGCAGCGGCTGGCCAAAGGCATTGCCAGCTGGGAAGAGGTGAAATCTGTGGGACAAGTGCAGGACATGCAAAAAACATCTAATGAGGACTGTGGTAAGCACACAGAGAGATAATTGACCAAATAGGGGTAACTGAAAATTGGGTGGGCACAGACACCCAGCAGGGAAAGTCACCTCTAGCTGTGGTGCAGACGGGCAGCCCTTGTGCTCAGTAAGAAAAGACACGTCCTCCCGCCAAAACTGCACCCCATGGCCAATGAGAGCGAAAGGTGTCTTCATCCCCAGCTTCTTCCCTCCCCACAGATGGATTTCTTGTTCATTTTCTAAAGAGCATCCCCAGCAGTCATTATGGGGACTGGGAGCTTTTGCATTTCCAGGCAGTGGTTTGTTACAGGCCAGGAGGCATGAGAAGAGCCAACAAGAGCTGGATGGGTTTCCCACAAGAGCTTGCTGGGATGCGCTAGTCTGGCCCCATACACCCCACTGTGCCCCATGCACCCCCAGCACCCTGAGCACTAACACCAGCCCCATGCAACACTGCCAGCCCCACGCACCCTGCTGCACTCCATGCACCAACACCAGCCCTGTGCACCAACACCAGCCCCATGCACCAACACCATCCCCAGTGCAGGTGGAAAGTGATCCAGAGGTTGCACGTCCTCCAGTCCACAGAGGTCCTGGGCGACATCAGATGATGCTGTGCCACATTAAGTGGAAATAACCGATTTGTTACAGCTCTTGACTCTTCTGTAGTGCCATTAAAATATTCCCAAGCAAGCCCAGGTGGGAAGGGCGTCTTTCAGAGCAGTCTCCAACCCTCAGGTAAATTACATGTTTGCGCGAGGAAGGATTAGAGGGAGTGGTGACCTGTGACACTCCCAAATGCGTGGAGCAGAGGGAATATTAGCCCGATGCATGGTGGGTGAGAGTGGTGTGCTCGAGTGGCAGGGACCTCCTGCTTGGTGGACACCAGGAAGAAAGACACCCATGCCTCTTCTGATGCAGCCCCTGGACTGCAAACCGGTAATCCTTCCTTCTTGGGTGACTCTGCCTTTGCACAGGCTGCCAGCCAGGGGCCACCCCCAGGGACAGCAGGAGAGAGCTGTAGGTAGCTGAAGAGCCCCCCAGATGGGATGTTGGGGCTTCCCCGGGAGTCCTGGGTCCGAAGGAAAGTCGTTTCTGCTCATGAGAGGGGTGGTGGGAGCGCTCAGGGGTCAGGACAATGCTGCTGGTGGAAGAGGTTTCGCTCTGCTGCACCTCTCAGAGGTCACCGGGAGCTCTCAAGGTCTGCTGAGCTGAGGGACCCTTCACAAATGGAATATTTTTGCAGGTTGGCCATTGGAAGGAAAGGGCCATCCCAGGGAAGGCTCTTCCCTTGAATTTGCATGCTGTTCTCCTGACTTTATGCCACAAAAACGCTTTCTGTCTCTCCTTGCTTTTCTGAAAGGCTCAGTCTTAAAAGTAAGGAGACTAGAGTCTCCTGGGACTGGGCAGCTGCGGAAGGGCTGTGTTGAGTGTGCGTTGCTGCTGTCTTTGTTGTGCCTCCCACCTCAGCCCCTGCGTCCCAGAGACCCATGTACTCCTCAGGAGCATCCCGGGAACAGCTCCTCAACTGCCTTCCCCCAGGGAAGGAGAGCCCCTGCACAGCAGGGATGTCAGCTGCGACAGGCGGTGCAACGAGGGGTCTCAACCCTGAATTGCAGCCCAGGGAGTTCAGGGTGGAGGTGGGGAACCCTTCTTCCCCCAGAGTGGGGAGCAGCCACGGGAGGTGGGGTGTCACTGTTCTGGGGCAAGGCGGGGTTTCAGGGCTCTACTGAGCCAAGCCACAGCCACCCCGACCTCATGCTGGCGATACCGTACTGTGAGCAGGAGGGTGGACAAGGGGTGTCCCAAGGTCCCCTCCAGCAGAGCAGTCGTGCCTGTGTGATCGTCCCCATCTCTACTCCAGGGACAGCAGAGGGAACAGGTGACTTTCTCCCCAGCTGCAAAATCACCTCCTGCAGTATGGGAAGCCAGTTCCTCCAGCAGAAAAGAGAGGGGACGATAAGGGTTAGCTGGGAAGCAATAGAAACCTGCTCATAGTTCTCCTTTCTTGCCCCAGGAAGATATTCTGCAGGGAAGCAATGGGGTGGATGCAAGTTACCTGGTGTTGGCGTCCGGCCACGGTCAATGCTTCCCTCGCAGCCCAGCACAGGCACATGCGCTCAGCGGGGATTTGGCAGGGCTCCTTGCTGTGGGCTCCATGCAATTTAACTATTTAAGCATGTCATGCAAGAGCTGAGGCAATATTTCTGTTGCAAATGTGTTGTCTCCAACAAATAAAATGATAGTAAGATGGTTTGTGGTAGGAACATGTCAAACCAGATATACTTCAAAAATCTTCCCAGGAAGAACAGTGGGTCTCCTGGGACAGTATTTCACCCAGGTTTGCAACAACAACTCAAGTGTGCCCCAGGGTCTCTTTCAGCCACATGGAGAGCCAAACCAAATCATGTTGTTTGATTTCATGTTAAGAACAAAACCGCCATGGTCCTGCAACTTAAAATTGGGTGGTTTACTCCTGATCAGTTCAGCTATCAGTTTAACCAAATAATCTATTCTTCTGACTGTCCAAGACATGATTTTAAATGAAGAGTCTATAATCACCCCCTCAAGAACCAGATTTGCCTAGGCGCCTACAGACGTGCATTTTTCTGAATACAAGGATCTGACGGAGAATATGTGATTAAAATGTGATGGAGTTTGGACTCTGGCATTGCTCAAGATAAGTAAAATGAGCCATTTTTAGAACCAGTTAGAGAACTTCAAATTTAAAATTATTTCACCTGTTGAGCTGTCAGATTGATATACCAACAGAAGCGTAGCGCATGCCAACTGAAGAGCATGCAATCCCTGGCTTCTGTGTCAGTACCATCAGTGTCTCTCACGCTCATGATGTTAACAATGTTTTGCAGAGCACCATGATGTGGCTGTTTGTAACCACTGCTTACTTAATGTGTCCCAGTGTAAAGTCAAATGCAAGCCCTGAGGTGTCCATGGATGTTGTAAGTCCTGACTTCTCTCCCTCCTTTTCCTGCTTGGGCGTGCAACCTACCTACGCTGCCAGAGTCTGGGCAGGACCCATGGTCTCTGCATGTGTGTCTTCATCAGGGTTTGATACAAGGGTTTTATTAGAGCTTTTGTCTCCCTGTGCTTATGTACACAGAGATTTAGGGCAGACTTTTGGGGGGGAGTTCAGTCCAAGTCAACAGGTTTGGTCAATGGAAGTGTCTCAGGCTTGGAGCTTCACTGTCATTGCTGCCCTGCTCTTCGCAAACATTGATTGCAACACGAAAAGCGACAATGGGTCGTTCTCTACCAGACCTGCTCAGGGAGTGAGGGAAACTCACACCTGCCAAAAATTTCAGCTGAAGTCATGACATCACCACAGCATTGGTGAAAGGGACATTGGGAGGTCCGTAATCCACCCTCCCGCTGACAGCAGGAGTCACCACCCCCAGCTCAGGGCAGCCACTGTTGGCTTCCCCCAGCCAAGCCCTGATATCCTCCGGGACAGAGACCTCCACCTTCCTGGGGACGCATCATGTGCTGTCCTTCCCTTCCCACAGGGTGAAATTGTCCGCTACTACGAGTACCCCTACGAGGAGCATGAAGTGGTGACAGATGACGGCTATTACCTCACCTTGCAGAGGATTCCTCATGGCAGACACAACCTGGGAAGCATGAGCACCTCCCATGAAGCAGAGGCACCCGGCTACAGCATGTTCTGTCCCTGTAAGTGCCACAAGAAGGTCTGCCCAGTCCAGGGACCCTGAGAGCTTTGCTGGGCTGGAGTGGGCCATGGTCAGGGCTGCCTCGTCATGGAATGGGTCCTCAAGGAGACAACTTTGCCTGTAAGATTAACCTTGGCAGCAGAAGAAATGCAGGTGCCCACCATGCTGACCTTCTTGCTCTGAGACGATCTGCTCCAAAGAGGAAGGAAAAGATAAGGAGAATGATTGGGACAGAAAAATCTTGCTCCAGGTTTTACCCGGGCTCAAAGCCAGCCAGTGGAGCAGCAAAAAGCCATTTGTCAGCAAAAAAAAAACCCCACGTGTCCAATCCAATGCCTTCTTACCATTTGGGCTCCTTTCTGTTCTTCATTTGAACCGCTGTTTCAAAGTGGAGGGGTGATGCACTTTGTCCTCAGCTGTCCAGGGTGGAAATGTGACTCTTATATTGAGGGTCTAAAAATCAACAGAAAAAAGAGGAGACAAAGGGGGGGGGGAAGTTAAGTCACTTTTATTTTGACTTTTCATGCTGCAACCTTTGGTTGTCCTACTGTATGAATTCAGATATCCTTGCAGTGACCTTGACATGGTTGTGAAGTTGTGAAGTTGTATCTGCTTTGAGTAGGAACCTCCAGAGCTCCTTTCCAAGCTAAACCTTTCCATAATCTCTCTTCCAGTCTCCTTCTACAGCACTTCAGGCCTCCCAGTCCTTCATAAAAAAAATCTTAAGTTTGTTCTGGGGAGCTGAGACTTGCCTACATGGCTTAAAGTGGGCAAAAGTGGATGGAGGAGATCCTTTTGACCCCCTCACTACTGTGTCTCTTGCAATGGGGCATCATAGTGTCACCATGCCATGGGAGGTACTTAGGTTTTGCTGGGTTTTCAAGGCCTACTGGTCCAACCCTGAGTACCTGAGCCAAACAAAAGGCACCGTGAGGAGAGTAGTCTCCATGCAAAGGGCATAGTCAGTGTCCAGACAGCCATTGCTTGGAGTTTGGTTTCTTTCTTCCAGGGAGCATGATTTACCATTACCAAATACCACTGAATTTTCCATTCAGTGTTGGAGTCCAACCTTGTTTTCCAGCTTTGCTGTATCAATTTTCTCATCCCTGGAATGACCAAAGAGCCTGCTTCAAAAACACCTCTCCAAGGAGGCTGAGGACATAGGTGACCATCTCCCTGCACTGGACTCACTTCCCCAGGGGGTTGCTGCCAAAGCAACACCTGGATGTGAACAGTCAATTTTGCTAGTGGTCAGGGAAAACGATCCTCCTCTTCTTTCTTCAGCTCCAAAGCCCGCGGTCCTCCTGCAGCATGGCCTGATGTTGGAGGGAAGCAACTGGGTTACCAACTTCCCCAACAGCAGCCTGGGCTTCATCCTCGCCGATGCTGGCTACGATGTCTGGATTGGAAACAGCCGGGGGAATAGCTGGTCACGAAAGCACAAAGTGTTTGAGTTTCACCACCAGGAATACTCAGCTTACAGGTATTTACTGTGAAACTGGAGGGTGGGCAGGTACCTGGTACCCTCAGCAGTGTCCATAGGTTGGAGGAGCAGCACCACCGACAGCCACACCGTCTGCCAGCAGGTATAAACTGACACCACCAAGATGCCATAGGGATGTCCATACCTGGCAGAGCCCTCACCCGCTCCCCAAATACTCATGGCACTACTTGCCATGTCCTGCCCAATGCTCTCAAGACCAGCAACACAAATTTTGTCATGTGCCCATCTCTGTTACAGCTTTCATGAGATGGCCATGTATGACCTTCCAGCGATGATCAACTATATTCTGCAGAAAACTGGACAGGAGCAGTTATACTACGTGGCTTACTCTCAAGGCACCACCACAGGTACTTAGGAGGAGATCAGACCACTGTCGGAGTTACGTTAGCTGCGCACCCCCAGTTTGGGAGTGTTCTCCTGAGAGCCTGGAGAGGGAGGTAACGTCCAGGCACGTCCAAACAACAAAGGGAAAAAAGCAGGTAAAAATCCCCGTTTGCTTTAACAGAACAGTTTTGAGCGGTGAGAGCCCAAAAATGGTTGCAGCGGTGGCTTTTGGTGCATCCCACTGCTGCCAGAGCCCCAAGGAGGGCTTGCGGGAGCTGCAGCTGGGCTGAGCAGTCAAGCTGGGAGCTGAAATGCATCCGCAGCAAAGGCTTGAGGTCAAGTCACCAACCTGCTACAGCCACCTCTGAGGGTCCTTCCGACGGGCACACACGCCTGGGAGTTAACAACTCCTTCAGAAATAACTAGGCAGGGTCTGTTTCCTTCTCCCTCTTGCAGGTTTCATTGCGTTTTCATCCATTCCTGAGCTGGATCACAAAATCAAGATGTTTTTCGCCTTGGCTCCTGTCACCATAAACTCAAATATGAAGTCACCCTTGGCAAGGGTGTTTGACCTTCCCGAGGGGCTGGTTAAGGTATGTCCTCACCACAGACTCGTCTGGTGTGAAAGGGAAGGAGGGAACAGGAAGGTCTCATCACCTGAGACATGCAGTGCTTGTACATCACTTCCATTTCCCTGCCCTCTATGCGCCTTTTCCATTGAGCCGGTACATTTCTGCCTACAGTCCTGAGCCTGCAGGACATTTAACAGTGTAAAGCATCCTCCTGTCCAGCCCTAATCAGGGAAGAGCTATTTCTAGATACTGGTTTTGGGTCCATACTCCTAGGAGAAACCTCTTCTAGGAAGATCAGGGCTCTTCCAGAGCCATGGCCATTCCTGAAAAGCCGAAATTACAAAGCACAGCAAAGCTGTAGCAAGGAAGACAGCAACCTTCAGGGGTGAGCAGAGAGGTGAGGAGCATCTGGAGGCAAAAGAGGAATGTGAACCACACTGATCAAGGTCTTTGACTTTCACAGCTCATTTTAGGACTCACGACGGTCTTCAATAAGGGTGAGGTCTTGCAGCAAGTAATTTCCAGGATGTGCAGCTACCCGATCTTTAAAAGCTTTTGCTCCTTGGCCCTTTACTTGCCTGGTGGGTTTACCAACAGCTTAAATGTGGTATGTACACTCCAGCTTACCTTTTAAGTGATCCATTTTCTCATTGTTTGAGCCTGAGTTGTCAACTAGCTGCCTTCACCTGGCCTTTCGCAGCTTTGATTTGTCAAAAAATCTGGCCGTTGCATCAGCAGTTTGTAATCTGGCCATTGCGTTGATGATTGCATTGGCACCAGAGGGAAGCCCAGAGTGCACACAAGGTCACACGTCCATGGGGCACATATTGACTCTCCAGCAAGGATGATGCCAAGGCAGAGAGCGCAGAAATTCATTTGGTGCTCCGAGGGGGTCCCAGGGTTTCTTTTTCATTAAGTGATTTGTAATTTCACATGTGTTTTATTAACAAAACAGGCTCTTACAGAATGAAGTCCCCTTCAATCCACTGCTAGGAGAGGTTGGCTTCAGACACTTCAGTCTACCATCCCTTAGAACATATTACCCCCAAATCAGAGCCTTTCCCTGTTCTCCACCACACTGAACACAGAGTCATAGAAAAATTCAGGCTGGAGGCACCAGGGAGGGGGTCTCCGGCCTGAGCTCGCTCCCACCAGGGCCTACATTACAGCTACAGTAGGTTGCTTGGAGACATGTCCAGGCAAGCTGGGTGGTCCCAGTGATGCTCTGCTTACATGAGGAAGGGCTATTTCCTTGAGGTCAGCCAAGATTTCAAGGTCCAGATCCTGCCACAAACCACTCATGTGAGTAAAATTGGAGACAGGTCCATGTAGAGTACCAAGCAATAATAGCTTGATCATGGATGGAGTCAGAGCAGGCCCAGTGTTTCTCAAGGGAAGTATTGGTGTAATTTCTTAATATTCTAATGAGGAAACACATTAAAAACAACGTGTAGAGCTACTGTGAGGAGTTGCACATTGTCTTTGCAAAAGGATCCTGAGTACAAGAGATAGAGTTTTACTTTGGTTTGAAAACCATGTAGACTCATAACATTACCCAGCATGCCATGGGAATTGCTTAGCTTACTGAAGGGAACTCTACAGCGTCCTTCACTCTGCTGTCTGCAACGTGTGTTCTCATGGCATGCGGCGGAGCTGTACCTTCACAGAGCTAAGACAAAGCAGTTCGTACAAATAGACGCTCCAGCTAGCCCGTGTGAGTGAAAGACTTGTGTGGCTACTAAACAGGATCAGTTTCATTTCTAATGGGATTTCCCTCCATGCAGAGAAAAAATGTCTCCAATCGTTTCTTGCAGAGCCGTGTGGATGTCTACCTGTCCCGCTACCCTGATACAACATCCCTAAAAAACTTGTTACATTGGCACCAGGTAATATTTCCTGCTGCAGAATAAGATTGCATACAACCAGCGCCCACATTCTCTTCTCTCAGCTGCCAAGGACCTCTTCTCATTGCTTGGGCGTAATCCTCCATTGCTCTCCCTGTGGAGCTACATTAAAGGGGAAATTTGACATGAAACGGTGGTGCAGATGCAGTTCTTTTGGCCATGGCTTTCAACAACGGATGACCAGGAGTCTTTGGAGCTGGTAGGAGATGGAGATGGAAGCAAAAACTGGTAATAAACCAGCACTGGATATGCTAGAGTAAAGGCTAAGAGCTGAAGGTTACTGAAGATAACTAATCATACAACAACCAATTATTGAAAACGTGCACAGACTCATATCCTTCTGTTGTAGACATTGACCATGACAGACAAAGGAAGTTTGCCCAAAGGTCTTATTCGTGTCTTCTCTGAGGATAGCTCTGCGGGTTTCTGGGGCCTCGGCCTCCAGATATCTACGTTCTGCAGCTTTCCAGCCACCCAAGAGAGGAGGGATGAAAGATGTGAGCAATGCCAGGCAATCTTGCAGGCCGTGCTGAGATCTTCCTGGGAGTTGAGCTCTCCTCCCAAAGGACAATATCTCACCTAACAAATAGCATCCTCAAGCCTTGGTGGCAGGAGGGAGCAGGGGAGTTCACCAGTCACCTCTTTTAACTTTCTTACGGTCCGCTCTAATGCATGGATAATAAACACACCTTTCCTCTTTTTCCAGGTCTATCAAACAGGAGAGTTCAAATATTATGATTATGGCAGTGACAACATACTTCATTACAACCAGGTAAGAGAAATCTATTCTCATTTGTCAATTTTAATAGAGAAAAAAAAAAAAAAAAGATAAAAGAAAATTACAATGAAAATACTGCAGTGGCTGAGACTAAATTTTATGGGATTTATGGAATTCACCTTATAGGGTCAAACAGGTTTGTACCTTTCTTACACAAAAGAGGTCTGTGATGTCATTCAGTGATGACTTTTTGACCCACTGGTGAAAAGTGCAGGAGCCCAAGGCATAGTCAGCATCTTTGGTGATAGTTTCTGTACCATCTCTGGGGATAGGGGAGAAATTCCAAGCAGCAATCAGGAATACTTTGAATTCTTTATTTGTGCATGACCTCCCAAGCTTTCCTTCCTCAAGCCACACTATTTGTCTTCCAGACCACACCTCCCTTCTATGAGCTGGAAAATATGAAAGCCCCGCTTGCTGTATGGTATGGTGGCAGGGACTGGATTTCAGTCCCCGAAGACGTAAACACGACACTGCTTCGAATAACCAACGTGGCGTACAAAAAGTACATTCCTGAATTCGTCCACTTTGATTTCCTTTGGAGTATGCAAGCATATGAAAAAGTGTACAAAGAAATTCTTGAACTGATGAAGAAGGGCGCCTAGGGTTGGACTAGTGGCAGTAATTGTTGGTTTCTCCTCTGACTTCTGGGGTTTCTTTTATTTGAAAAAAAATAAAAAAGAAGTGAAGAAAAAAAGAGGGGGGAAGGCTTATTATACTGCTGCGCTTGTTTTGGATTGATAATACTTTGGCAAGTGAAGAAAACAAGCCAATCCAATGATCAGGAAAGCATGCAGAGTTTAGGTTAAATAGGTTCAGGTCCTCGCAGAAGTTGGGCACGGCCCTTGGATCCCGAGTCTCCCAGGTGTCTCACTCATGTAGGTTTCCAGCAACAAGCAATTTCAGTGGAATTTGGCTCCTGTTTGCCGTTGCAGGCTCTGGCCTCCCTACACTCGAGTTCCCAGCTGCAAACACCTGGACAGCAGCTCAGCTCCCTCTTGGATGCTGGTGTTTCACGCGAGTAGGTGTGCTCAGACGGGACCACGTGGTGGGTCAAGCAATAAATCCTGCCGGTGTAGTTTTATCCACTTTCTGGTGACTCTTCCATGCCAAAAATCCCAACATCCTGATGTTTGTTGCTTTACTTATCAGTCAGCAGGAGCTAGAAACTTTCTGCCTGGTGACAATGAAAAGAGTTTGTGAGTTTTTTCCATGAGAACTGTCCATTTCGCTAATGTAGAGAACATCTTTCTCAAATTCACTTTGATTTGGATAACACCAGCCTTGCTCATGCACAAAAGGGTTTTCAGTAAGTTTTACCAGAAAATACCATTTTGCACCATTTTCAGCAATATTTCCAAGGCACAAACCCAGCTGGAAAGGCCACCTTTTGCTGACTCTCAGGAAATGTCTTTGTTTTCCTTATGTGGGAGAGAGAAGAAGAGTCTGGTGGAAGCCAGTAATGAGTCTAACTGTTTTCAGCTTCTGGATTACACTTCTTAATAATATATTGATTAGGGGAGGAGTTGTGAATTTGCCTGTTTGTTAACTATATTCTTAAAATATGCCTAGGAGCAAGCAGGCCCAAGGGTAATGCCCTCTTCCCACAAAGATGTACAAATAATAATAATAATAATAGTAATAATA